AAAACAGAACGCCTGCGCCAGCTTGTTTAAATAAACATATTAGTATACATATATCCTTCGTAAATATTACCCTATGTATACAGTAAATGAATCTAATAAAGTGTCTGATATTGTTCAATATTCCAACAGTCACTATTATGGTGATACAGAGAGAGTCAGTAGAAAGTAAATGAATCTAATAAAGTGTCTGATATTGTTCAATATTCCATCAGTCACTATTATGGTGATACAGAGAGAGTCCGTAGAAGCAAAAATTTTTTTGCTCAGTGCTTCAACATTCGTGCGTGTAATTCACTTCCCCAGTTCTAACTTCTAAATATTTCTCCAAATATTTCTAGCTTCGCTTCGGTCTGTTAGTGCTATAGAGCAGCGGTGCACTTCCCTAGTTTGGTTAAGGATTGGCGCGCAAGACTATCAAGTCGTAAACCCAATCCGAGAAGTCGTTGTTACTAATTTCTAGGTGATTAACCAGCATTCCCTTCGTTTCACGAATTTTCCATTACAATAAAGGCAGGAAACGCGCACACCCTGACTTAAAATTTTTGGATTCCCACTGGTTGCCGGTCATATGTAGGTAGCTACTGACTGTATGCAGGAGTTCGTACAGATCCGGTACTCAATCCATCAACTCAGGCCAAAGGGCCATGACTGTTTTCGTGTGTCCAAAAGTATGACAGAAGCGTTTTCACAGGCGTTTCGATCAAGTGGCTTCCCAACTCGTACTGAAACGTGAATACCAATTGCGTATTTAGAAACCTATCGACTTCGTTGCACTCCAGAGTACTGCTGCTGCTCTCGTTGACTGGACTTACTACCAGTCCAACAACAGACCAAAAAGATAATATCGGTGTACATATCTGGTAAGCTATAAACGATCGCTGGAACGGTTATCTTAGATTGATGAAAAGTTAAGAATACCTGCTTATCGTGATCTGCAGGGCGATAGACGGTGTTATTGTTAACGACAACCAAAGCCAAGTATGCCGATCCATTATAAAACGATTTACAATTACAAGTTGATAACCAACGCTGCTTTGGATCCCAAACAAAGAACTGGGTAAGTCTGGCCAGTATTTCTGCCGAGAGCACCAACCGAGGCAGGGATTTGTTCGTTCATTGCCTCCATGTCTACTGCCTTTGAAAAAGCAGCTTGTGACTGAGCGGTCGATCGTTCGCCGGTAGCCCCATTCTGAAATAGGGGACACTGAGAACTGCCACACTTTGTTATGATTTACCAATTAGTTGCAAAACAAAAAAATAGGGCAAAAAGGAATAAAATTTGGCCAATTTTACTGCATGCGACAAGCAAAAGTAAACATAAAAGCCACAACACTATTTAAAAACTTGAAGCATTTCACACTTATCTTGCATTACAGGCGGTCGCCTTTCTTCTGAATCGCATTTCACCAGAGTTTCCTGGGCTCAGATGTATATGCGTTCCAATTCCGAGACGGCAACTTCGATCTCCTTGTTAACGAATCTTGTGCTTTCGTGATCCCTGCGACCGTGCAGGCTGGTTCTAATCGAGCGTCCACTGGCCGAAAGACGTCTTCGGTAGTCCAGTTCTCGATGAGTACGCCAAAATTAAAGCATTCCACCTGTTATCGTGGCTGGTAAAATTAGGCCCAGCCTCGTCCAGGTCGCACAGTTTCGTGCTGCAAAGCCGCTAGCCAGTCGGCAAAGGTGCTATAACTAACGCCTTCTGTAATCTGACATCCAAGGCGTCTTGCCGTGGGGATGGTGGCCGTGGATTTACCATGGGTCGGTCCGCGACATCTCACACAACCGATAACTTGTGACCTTCATAATTTTTTTTGCCTGTGTCTCCAAAGATTACACGTACTGTGAAACCGTCACGCCTTTTTAGGATGTGATTAGTCCGCAGCTGCAGTCCATCAGTGGTACGGTCACCTTCCTCCTCCTGCAGTGACGGACGAATTTGCATGGGTTGATGATTGGCTTCGTGAGCTAAATGATAGCAGGCGGCTTCCAGTCATGCAGCTAGCGGGCAGTATACTTTCAAACCTGAAACATCTCCCTGTACGATCGACTACGGCTGGTTAGATGAGGTGATGGCGGAGCTCAACGGTTCTCAAGCAACTGCAGAGGGCCCTGCTGATGTTTCAGAAGATACATCTGAGCGGAACGTCTCAACAACTCAGGTCTCTCGAGGCAGTTTCGATCACACGGGCAATTGATAATCGTTGAACTCTACATGAGTTTTAGAATACCCGGCTTGGGAACTGTTAAAACATATTATACCGTCAACAGACACGTAACGACAGACCACTCTATCGAATGTGGATTTTTATACCCTTTTTATAGCCTTTGCGAGTTGAAAGATATTATACTGACCTGATCACCAAAAAATTTGAAGCACATTAGAATGGTTTTTTAAGGCTTTACCATGCAGTTGTATTTCATGCTGGGATCGAAGCGGCAGGATGTTGCCGGTGTATTGCACGGAGCAAAGCTGGAGGACGTCAGGTTAGAAATCACGTCAATCATCACCTTGACTGGTCAAACCCCCATCTTCCGTGGCTTAAGGAATTGTAGACGCAAAATCGTTTTCTGTTCTTACTGGTAATCATGGCCCCGCACTGTCAATTCTATGTGTACAAGTGTAAAAAAATGATCTCTTCCCACACAGACTGTCGAAAATGTACAGTATGTTACGGTGCTGACACCCGTGGGTGCTACGAAGTTGTGCGGAAGTGAACTTGTATCGTAGATATTCAGGCAGTTGTAAATGGCTATTTATGACTTTAATTGACGAATAATTTATATTTTTTTGACATACCGTATCTAGAGCGCCACGAGTTTGGGATGAAATTCCATAATTTACTCTGTTTACCCGGATACAGTGAAACGATTTCGGGCCTACAATGGTGTTACTTTTTGTTCCCTTCCGAATCAAATAACGAAATTCTTTCGTGCTGTTCACATGGCTGCAGTGGCAATGGGAGCTGCATGCGTTACAGCTTTTGAAATATACCTGTTATGGTAAAGGCAACGGCAGGTTACCCACGACCCACAAGCTGCTGCCCAGTAATAATGGGATTGCCAGCATGCAGGAACCAGTTGAATTCCGATCGATTTTCTACGTCGCGCAGTATATCGGCCTACACGGTAATCCCACGCCATGCCTTGATCCGTCCATCTGAAATCTCACTATTGTTGATGATTGTAAGAATGTTGATGCAAAATATACGTATGGATACGTGTGGATATTGATATGAGCTGCAAATTCACATGCAGTTCGTATTGGCCACATGAGCTATTACAGCACATTGAGTTCGTATTGGCCTTTCTGCCATGCCTATTTTCAAATATCATCTTCAATTACAACAACAACGCCTTATCAGCGACGACAACCGCCTAGACGACGGTCAGACAGTCCATCTTTAAGTCCTACACGATCATCACCTACTGTATCACCAGTACAGGATACCAACGTACCATCTCATTTTATTGACAGATGTTTTGTGTATCTAAAGGACTTTGCAGACATTTACCAATAGACATCGATAATCGTCCTTAAAGCAGACATGCAATCTGTGTGACACGCATGCAGATTGCATGCAGACATGCAATCTGTGTGATCTGCATGATGGGCCTTTATAAGACATAAACTGAACAACTGAAAACGGAATGCGAAGCTGATGACCCGGGGATATACTTCGAGCGCCCCGGCCCAAAATGCCCAGCCTGCTCAGAGTATTACTCAACAGACATTTTGCCATTCAAACCACCAAGCTGATTACCAGGACACTCCAAGTCATGCAACGATTATACAGCAACATCAACTACACACAGTTGCTCACAGTAATCAGGCTAACGACCACAACAACTACAACTACGTCTACGGCATCATGGATACAAGTACGAGTACATAGATAATATCATTTACGATCTTCACCTGCTTCTTTTCCGCCAGTCGACGTAAACCGCGGCGGAAAACTCCGTCAAAATCCTCCAGTTCAATGATGTAAGTCCCGTGTACCAATTGCAAAATCTCTTGGCGGGTGAGTGCGTATCTGGCATGGTACAGGATGGCCCGAACAACGCAGCGTAATTTTCCGTAAGTATTGACCAGTTTCACTTCGCGGTTATCGAACACGTCCTCGGCGACTCCTAAAACAAAGCGTCCGTCGCGTACCATTTTCTTCAGCAATAATCCGCTGTTTGATATTGTCTTCCAGGAAGATTTTCACACGTTTGGTTTTAAACTCTCGGTGTGCTGCAGTCTCTTCCAATATTTGGGCTTGCAAATTTGGAGCGTAATTCCGCGCCTTCCAGTCACCAAAATGAAGGTATGTGATGGAATATAAGTCGTCATCCGCCGTGTGCCACGCAGAACTGATTATCCAGGAACCCTCGCAGATAACTCGCGTATTTGTCCCTGGTAGCGTCTTCGTAAGACGGTCCAAAAGTGAATCCAGTTTGTTAAGGCTCCATGTTTATAAGAATAAATTCCTTTGAATTAATTGACAAGAGATTCATCAAAAAGCGCTAACGGTTACCAAAAGGAAGTACTGTATGCTAACCCATATTTACTCGTTAAAGTAAGAATCCGATATCGCTATGCCGTAAACTACTTGGACCTTCTTACTTCCAATGGATCTCCAGAACTTTGTTTCAAGCTTCTCGATGCTGCCGCCTTGACAGACTAACGGAAAATTCAATTACATGTATTCATACATGTAATACACAGCCTAATGTATATTTGCTACTTACGGCTAGTCTGGTAAAACACAGATATGTGCAGATTACACTAATACTCGTCGTGATAACTTCCTAGACTAGAGTGGCCATGACAGATCATGTGTGTACACAATATGAAATTGTAAAAAGATTATAAATATTTCTTCTTACAATTACGATTATGTGTTTCTTTGATAACGATTCAATAAAACGAAGACCCTAATTAAGTTACTAAAAAAATTGCACCGCTGTTGGTCACTGCAGAAGGATGTGATAATTTCACACTTTTTTTGCTTTGGCTTTCCTCCGGAGTTTTAAGCACTGCACTAAGAAACATTACAGCACAAAGTGAACAGCTTTAAAGCCGGCCGAATGCTTAACGTTTAACGTCACAGACAACGTGTTTCCCCGTTACTTTGCATTTCAACGCTAAAACACAGTCCAAAATTCCGATACAGTGTAGAATTATGAGTGGAATCACTGACGTTTATTACGGCCCAAAGGTCCCATATGTCTTTAAACTTCTGGTTACCGGCTCTCCGGGATTTTGCAATGCATAGCAGGCGCACCCTAACGCAATTGGAGTCATGATTATTACAAAGACAACAGGTGGCCATATCCATGCAGGCATGGGTTATATCTCCGTTGTTGTCGTCTTCCAGCAGCGTCTAAGCAGGGAGCAATCCGGGGGAAACCGAGAAACGGCTGAATTATTTGCACGAATTATTACCGTTAGCTGCTGCTGCATAATTATCTTAAAATTTATTATTTTTTGTTGAAAATTTATTTTAGTTTCGTCAGTTTTTTAGACACAGTTTAGGGTACTCACAATTACGGTAGACAGGCATGCCCCTTGAAGCCGTTAGTGATGAGCTGCGGAGTAAAAAAAATGACATCTGTAATGAATTACATGGTTAGTAGGTAATTTAATCTTAACCCAGCTGAGGGTAAACTTAGTTTTTTTCAGATACGGAAAGCGAATTGGAGTGCGAATCTGTAACTGAGCAGGCAACCGCTTGTGAGCGGAGGAGCGGATCACGTACAGCGGTAAAGTCTTTCAAGGGATTTCTAATTTTCTGCGTATTGCGCCGTGGTGCAGTGGTACTGCCTACGCGGATCTAACGACGTAGCCGGGGTTCGATTCCCCCATCGGCCCCTTTTTCAAAGGAATAATTTAATTTAGCTTTTTTCGGCTTGCCTGCAGACCATATAGCGCATGGCGTTGGCATAGCTTACGATGATCTCATAACTGTCCTTCTCCTGCTTGGGAAGCACGCTACAGTGAAACCCCTCTTAACATTCACCTTCCTATAACATTCACCCCTTTACTGCATGCACGAAGCTGGGAACCAAACCGTCCGGTAGACTATAACACAAGGGCAATTCTCTGCATAACATTCACCCCTTTACAGCTATAACATACAGCTTTTATGGAACAGGTACCATTTTCACCAGCTTATTCAACCCCTGCGTAACATACGGTTGGTTAGGCTGGGGAAGAAAACCATTTCGGTGTCTCTAAAAGGAAGTTCCGGCTTCTGTTTTAATCTGTTTAGTACCGGATCTGCCAACTCCAAGCATACAAAAGTGCAGCAAAACCAACATTCGGACCGAATAATGTCCATACTATAATATTTTGTTAATTTTTTGGTAGAGAAGAACCCCGGGGACTGAGCCCCTGAGGGCGGTGCCCCTGGGGGAAGTGCTTCTGTATAACATACACCCCTCTGTAACATTCAGAAAGCCTGGAACGGAGGGTGTATGTTGTAGAGAAGTTTCACTGTAACAAGGCTGAAAAAACGTTTGGCACTGCAGCTGATCCCATGGCCAGAATTGTTATCCCAGGCATCCGTTAAAAAATCCGATACACCACTCATATTACGCCTGCAAGAACTGTTTAATGATTTCGGTCAGCTGTAAATATGTTGGCTAGAGGCGTGAAGACAGATGCAATAAATAACAAGACATCGCGCTCACCAATGCTCATGGGAAAAATAAACAATATCACAGCACTGGATAATGTCATAGATAATAAAAAAAAGATAATAGTGTACTACGTGCCTGAATCAATAACGAAGCGAATGCTGTCGGTAGTAATGGAAGTTTCAGCAATGCTAGCGGCTGTGATAAATATGCGGGAAAATAATAAACTACAAATTTGCAATACAATCGCTGATGGAAATTTTAGCAGTATTTGTTGGATTTCTAAATTAATAAACAGAAAAACATAATAAATCAGAATTTCAAAGTAAGGCTAAATCAATCGAATGATGCATACTGATTGTAATCAAACTACTCGGCAAGCACAAAAATAAATTCAACCGTTGCAATAAGAATACAGTCGAACAAGTTAAAATATTACACAAAATTATAGAAAATTATACAGTACTTACTGAAATACGGATCCGCTCAACATTCCGCAGGGATAGAGTTATGATCACAGCCACAGGGACATCCAGTACGTTCCATCTGTCCTAACATAAAATCGCATTATAATTCTGTAATCGACGAGAAAAATGCACTGACATTTAAAAAGCAAACTACACTAAACAGAAAAATTTCTTTATTATTATGCATCGGAAATCGTGTCACGTCGACTTCGGCCAGGCCTATTTCTCTGAAAAGCGCTGATTGTAGATGAAATCTGGCCAAATATGCAATGTAGTCTATACTAATGACACAGAAAAGAAAATCAAATACAAAAATTCAAAAAAATGATGAAATACAAAGTTGGCAACAGCAAATCAATGAAAAAATTATATCCAACTTATATCAAAATCACACATTTCGGCAGGGCCGTAGCAAAGGGGGGGGGGGGTGTGCGCAACGGGCGCAGGCTTTCAAATTCAAGGGCAAAGTGGGCGATAGCCGAACTTCAAAACGGTCGCAGCTTGCGCAGCCAATTTGCGCACCCCTCATCCGACGGACCTCGCTACGGGCCTGCATTTCGGTATAAATACGGAAGAATAAACGCACAATTTTAAATTCTCGGAAAATGCAGAAAATAGGGAACCGAGCTACGTGCTTAATAACGTCTCCTCAGCCTGGAAGGTCCCACAGCTCCCGCAGTCCAGCATTTGCCCAGATGGCCACCACGGCCACCGTTATCCGTCTCTCAAACTGCCGTTGCGTTGGCTGTAAATCCTGCACGCCATCATCCCAGCGCTCCGCCACGCGTCCGCCGCCACCCATGAGCACCACAACTCTGCGCACCGGCGCCAACCCAGCGCTTTACCCCAGCATCCAACATCGCCCCCGCGCGCGTCCCCGTCGCTCCCATATCCGTCACCACTTCCGTTGCCCGTTATCCCTACATTCCTAACTTCTGGTTCCCCACCCCTCGCCCCTGTCCTTATATCTACTACCCCTAACGCTATAACTACTGCCCCTGGATGCTTATATTGTTTTTAAATAATTAAACGGATCTGTATCAACGAGAAGGGTAAAATTTATTCACAATTAATCGGTTAATAAGCTAAGCCTTTAAAGCGTTAGTTATCTGTGCAGGAAAATTATTAAAAAACGCAAAATTACAAGGAACGCAATGCAAATGTATTCAGCTAATGAAAACAACATTATTTATCAAATTGGTTAAGGAATTCTGCCGGTTCCACGGTCTGCTAGTGCATCTCTTCTGTCATCGCGTCCGCAAACGCGCGCAGGGGCACTACAAATTATTCATACAGGAAAATGAAAAAAGCTACATAATTAGAGTACTTACAGTTTCCGCGGCGGGCACATTCTTGCAAGAACTGAATTTCCTGCTCAGCCAGTTTGGGGCTATGATACATCAGATGGCAAGTTTCTGAACCTGCTTTAGATATCTGCAATCAAACTGCACCCTGACGCTGTTGTGAAAGAGCTGTTAGAATCGGCCAATTCCATCTCTCTTATACTGAAGAAATTGCATTTGTGAGTGCCTTATCGTACTGATAGTTCACTCAGCGTTTGCCCGACAAGCAAATAATAGAGATGTTGAAGTATCACATACCAGGATAACCGCTGCATGGTTAATAGCATTATAATAACATAAAGTATGAGATGTTGCAATGCGCCTTTCACCGCAGACTAGCATGTGAATATTTTAGCCTCGAGCCTATACCGTGTGCTGACACGGATGTTTGCGCAGTTTGCCTAAAGCACTTTTGAGCGCTATGTGCTGACACAGCAAGCGATATAAAAAGCTCTACAATTGAATGCGAAAGCCACCTATTTTACGAATAAAGCATAATTTCCCACAGAGATGTAATATTCCAAAACAGCCCGTGGATTTGATGATAAAGAGACCATGCTTATGCTGGACGCCATATTCCGAGCATTTGAAATGAGGACGGTTGAATTGAACTGGTAATTTCGTCCAAAAATCACCGACGCTCCAATTTCCGTCCTTGATTTGCTTACCGTAAAATAGGAAGCTAGTCGTATACAACTGGTTCACGCCCAAACAGCAGCCCTGATGATAGCCGTTATTCGTCTTTTCACCAGAATAATTACAGAATGCCCAATCAAACTCGATTTCAACATTCGTGGTGCAAGGGAAAAGCATTCCAGTTTTACTGAGGCCTTGAAAAGCGATACTGATAAAAGAAAGAAACGGAAACCGGAGTTGATTGGCATCAAATCGCCGCCGTATTTTCTAATGTCGATAAAGAAACGTTGCACGAGAAGGTGAAAGAGGGCAGGCAGGCAGGATGTTGTACTGCTAGATGACGTTCAACGCTATGCTGCAACAACTGAACCTCCACTTAATTTCTAGCGTTTTTCCGTAATTGGCATCAGTCAATCCGAGCAGCCCCGATCTTGAGCAAATACCTGAGTCGAAAAATGGGTGTCCCAATAGCGCTTGTCGGACATCAAAGAATTGCCGCAGCGCCTGCGCCGGTCAGAGGGGTGCAACAAGGGGTCTGCTAGCGAATTTCTTTTAGACAACTGTGACTTGGAAGTTTTGTAACAGTGAGGTCATCAGCTGCTAAACGCTGGGTGCATATGACACAGTTGACTATGCTGTCACTGGTGCTTTTGTACTGTACATTATGTCAGCGCAGCCGGGGCGTGGTGCTGATGCGGTGACCGTCTGCGACTGCAGTAGTCCAGTTAAAGGGCGTTGTTAACTTGACGTCGGGAGTACGCGCCAGCTAGTTGAACGAACTGCGACCACTTTCACTAGCACGCGTTGGGCTACCAGAACTATACGAGTACGATTGTTCTACTAGTTCTACTCGTATAGTTCTGGTAGCCGTATACCGGCTACCAGAACTATACGAGTACGATCAATACGGCAGTTATTGTTTGAAACTTTATTACGTACCTGTTAGTGTCTATGTAAGCGACAGAGAGAATACAGTCAATGAGACCGAGATTAAACTGGTAAAGAGGCGTGCAGAGCTGTTTGCGATACGGCGGCGCCGGTGTGATACAGTAGCAATTTCCATACTCGTATAGCAGATTCAGGTAAATCGCATTGACGCGCCTTCTACTGTATCAGCTCGAAGAATATCATGGACCAATACAAAAAGGTATTCCTCCGCCACGGGTTTCGTTTTTGTTTTGCATCATGTGGTGATTTGCGAAATACAATGACTAAACTAATTTTTTGCGACACTTATTTATACAATATGGCTGAATTTTCGTGCCTTCTTCGGAAGTATTCAGAGGATATGCTCACTGGACCAATGGGTGGGATCGGAACGTATTGTTCTTACATTTCAGCATGGGTATCATAATCGCCCCTTCATATCGAAGATGCAGAGATAGTGTCCATCAAATGTATTTTTTGTGTCGATGCAGACTGGCTGAAGCTTTAGTTCGACTGGCCGCCGCACACTTTTTCGCTTCCACGCCTGCCTGGAGGAATATCGGAAACGGTATCCCGGTAGTAAGGCGACGCTCAAGGAGTTTATAAACGCGCGTGACAAAGAGCAGTTCTTGGATTATTCTGCTGTGGAGGAGCCAATCGGTGGGTCGGCAACCTAAGCTTTCCAAGGACAAAGATACGTGATTGTTACGGTGCCACAGGCGCCTATGGAGGTGATAAATCAATAGGAGTCCGTGCATATTGTCGCGAACATCGGCACGGAAAAATGAGAGAAGGACATTTTGCCACCCGAATAGAAGTAACACCCGATTAGAAGGAGGGATTCGGATTGCAACGGATGCCGACTGCTATCTCACCGATAATTTGCGTCGCCGGTTCGTTAATCCTTGTCGAGATTGATCTTTCTTCAGTAGTATAGGGCTGCCACAACCTGACACGAACCGCTGTTCCTTTTTATTGCAAGAACAAGCATGAGGAACTGAAGAATCGCGGCTACTTGGATTTTGGACAGTTTGGTTGCACTGTGATTTACCTAACGCGGGAACTTGGGAGAACGTTCAGGAAGCCATCATCCAGGAACGGCTTAAGCTATCGATCCTTAGTGGTAAGCAATCAAGCAGCAGAAAGGAATTCAGTATGGCGCGCGTTGTTATAAGCAGGTTTTAACGTTTCAAAACGCGGTGCGATGGCGCAAAATCTGGGAAAGGACAGATCGTCGGTTAGAAGATAAAATGGAAATTTCATCCGATTGATACCAACGTTTTCTCGTTTGTTACACCATGGGCACGCGTGTTTTTAACTGCTTTCGCATGGCATTAATCGAGTTGACGAGTCAAGTTCTAATGATCGAGCAGCAAAAACGACTGGCCCGCCGAGTAACTTGGTTCTGGCGGATTATGCGCCCACTGATCAAAAAGATCGTCGCCCAGAAGGTCGCTGGGGGTGACATCGTGCCAACACCGAATGGCTATCCTACGCTTGACGCAGGATACGAGGGAGAACACCCTGCCCTGATAAAAGGCGGCACAACCTATACATTTCAGACATACAACGACAACAAATCTTTGCATTACCATCTGGCGCGAATCCTCCTCTCGTACTTTAGCAGAGAGCTGGTGGCCAGTAGTTACCAAGGCAAGGATCGTAACAAATCCTTACATGTTGACGGCATGAATGCTATGTTAAAGTTCCTCTGTTTCCGCACTAGCACCGGAGCGCGAGATTTATCAGCTGAGCTGCGGGAGTTCAGGTCTTAATTCCGAGATATGCTGGTTTCCGCATTCAATTCAAGAGCTATTTATAGCGCGTGCTGTGTCAGCACATAGCGCTGAAAGTGCCTAAGGCAAACATCCGTGCCAGCACGCGGTAAAAAGCTCAAGGCTATCCAGGCGCTCGTCTGCGCGCATTGCAAGTCAAATGCTCGTTCTTTATACTATTATGATATCCAGGTATGTGATACTTCACATTGCCCTTTTCCGGTGGTAAACGCCCTCGTTTACCGGGAGTAGTACTGCGCTTCCGGATCGTTGACGTCGATTCCCTCATAGTGGAAACCGTATTTTGTCAGGTCCTGTAGCTTAGCAGGATCATATAGGAGAAAGTAATGAACACATTTCTGGTGAAGAATCCTGCCAGTAATAATTCCACCGATGCAATACATCTTATATGTCGCGCGGGCCATTCTATTCACTGTATTAATGGTTTCCCTTTCCGTGGCGAAAGGAGTAAGATGTCGGATGAGGCGTCGCTCTTCCGTATTGTGTTGGTAATACGGCGTGGATGCTGATCCATTACGAGTTTGCGTCTGGCGTACGGCGCGTAAGCGGTGAATCCGTTTCTTAGCGTGTTTAATTTTATACAAGTGGACTATGGCGAGGATCTTGGCGCGATTCGCGGGGTCAGATAACTAGTCATTAACGAATTCGCTGTCCAAGAATGTGGTCCAGGCGGTTGCAGCTAGAGACGCTGCGGCACACAAGAGCACTGCATATTGCAGACCGCTACGGCGGTAATGCATAACCGCGGCGTGGTTGTGGGCGTGGTCGACGTTGTAGTCGGCGTGGTGATTGGCGTCGTGGACGTCGTTGCTGTGGACGTTGGAAACGTCGTGGAAGTCGGTGTAACCGACGGAGAGGACTGAGAAATAGCGGTGGCTGTATCGTCGTCGTCTCTTTTATACATCAGCCAGTACTGAACGCAATGACTGTGCAAATTGCGCTGGCTGTCTGGCGCTAGGTCATAATTGGCACATGCAGTGTGGAATATGAGGAAGTTCAAATATTTAGCAACTTTAACAAATATACGCTCAAGTGCATCCGGGTTAATCTCGCTCGGTCGCTGGGCTGATCTCATGACACACGCACTGTGCTGTCTTTTACCTTGCGTTACCGGTTTTGACTTAATGTACTCATCCATCATGAGGAGTCTATCCGTGTTAACGTCGGGTGTATAATACGGATTGTGGATTAAAAATTTTTTGATGTCAAGGTTACTGATCAAGCGCGTTGTTGCGCGGCCCGTAGGATATGAATGGGTTAAGGATAAGAATATCCAACTAATTAAGCGTTGAATCGGGTCAGTCTCGGACGGTATTATCATTGTAGACATATTAATAAATGCGGTTCCGGTATGTCAATTGCGATGGCTGCTGAGGTGATGACGGCAATCATGGCGATTTTCCAGGTGATCATGGCGGTGTTACTGGGAATTTCTTGTGGTCACGGGACGGGGTATTGGGACGGGGTGATGACGCCACTGTTTTCTTGGATGTCGGGGTGTTTGGGAAGTGACAGAACTACGATCTGGGTGTCTCCAGCAAGTACGACTGTTCGGTTCGGTATGTTTGGTTTGTCCGTCCGTGTCACCGGTTTATATTTCCGTACCGCCCTTGTGAGCTATTGTAACCGTTATCTTCCTGGTTCCTTGTTCGTCAATAGATGTAATATTTCCGTTTTGCCCCTCGGCAGAGGCTTAAACATTTCGCAACGCCAAAACACTTTATACGCACAATTGCACTTACAAGTGTGCCGACAACTGCTGACGTTGCGATCAGGGCAGTTTTTCAATGAGGAAACGAGCTGTCCAACGTGAAGACAGAGGTGTCGACTTTCAAGTTACTGAGTCCGGATTTAAACGGTATGACTCGTAAGGCGGATGTAACGGGTTCGTCGGCCCCTTCGCT